CTAATGTTGCAAATTTATTACTATTTAACTACATGATTTTTAATAAATAACCATGTATATTAAAATATTTTATTATTAGGAATTCTCTATTACTGATGATTTTCAAGTTGATGCATCAATGTCTAAAAATTGCTATTATTTTTACTAGTAAACATATTTCCATTTATGGTTTTAAGTGAAAACCGATGTCACAAAAGTTTGATATCCGGCCATGATGGATATCGAACCAGGAACCTACTGGCCCAATATTTTAAGATAGATGTGCAAATATTTTTGTCCATTGGTTTACGGAATCAAGTAAATAAAACCAAATCGCAAATTCTTGTTAAACTGGATGTTTACTAAAAATGTTTCAGTAATATAATTGCAAAATAGAGTAAACGATTACAAGAATTTAAGCTGTAACAGTTATAGATGAAAATTTTATGTTATGACGAGCAAATATTTTGTTTTTAATACTACATTCAGCCAGTATGCGTAAACACTACATTTCCACAAGGTAGAAAACACATCCGATGTTTATCTTTAAACTCGATTTATAAATCGGACTGTAAACATTTGAAAAGTTTCTCTGGGCTTCGGTTAAGAATCGCATAATTATACAAATCTCGGCATTAAGGGCCAAACACGAATAAATCAGTCCATTGAAATTAACGACTGCACATAACTAGGTCGATAACCAAATGGTAAATATTTTAATTCGACGACGTGCAAAATTCGCGAAATTTCAAATCGGTTGGTGTTTTAAATTCCCGTTTAGTGATTATTTTTACACGCGGCGTTTGTTAGTTCTTCCATCGAATATAAACATATCAAAATACTTCTCTACGAATAGTCGAAGCCAATGTGTATTTTGTTCTGGGACTGTTATGAGAAGTTATTTTTGGGACGACGGCGGCGGCAGAGTGCGGGCGAAATGCCGTAACACATGACGATGTATCACACAACTGACTTACTGTATGTATTACGTGCAATTGTGAACGTTACGGAAAATCTATAATACAGGGTGTACCAGAAATCAACGTCAAGCCAAAATGGGGGGATAGCATTGATTGTAGCTATCATGAAAAAAATAGAATAAAAGATTATCCTATGCAAAGAGCTTTCATGTACCTGCAACCAAAGGCTTTGGTCAAACTATGACCAGTGTTCGCTTATTGTAGTAAATTTCTATTATTATTGTTTATTTAAACTTTGGAACCGAAACCATGAACATTTTTAATACCACATTCACAAACGTGACTATTTGTTAAACTATGAATTTAAAATTTTCAAACTTTCGACATTCCAAAGTGCCTTATGTTCCATTGAAAGTTCACACATTTTAATCAGGATTGTAAAATGGTACGTACCTTATTAGTTTCATACTGAAAAAACGAGTAAAACTAGTGGAGTATGGCATCGTGTCTTCAGGCAAATTGCTGGAACTTCCCGTATCGAATATTAAAATTCTTTGAAAACTTTGAAAAAATGAGATTTCTGAAAATTTCCAAATTTTTGAAAGAAATGACTTGAAAAATTTGATTTTTTTTTAGGTTTTAATTTTTTTTGAAAATTCTAAACTTTTTTCAAAGCAATCGTGCTGCGTGGCTGTTTTAGAAAAGAAACGGATAAAGAAAAGAACCCATAGAAATGTAAACAAAATTTATACTTATTAAAATATCTCATAATTAAATGTGCATATGATTAATGATCATTTATGACCACCAAATGCCATTTTTTGGACCTTTTACACGATCTTCGAAGCCGCTAAATCTGCCTTCCCAAAAATTTGATCATTTCTTCATTTAGTCAATACAAGTAAAATGCTTTTTCAGTTTTCGAAATCGGACGCTCCGATCTCTCAAAAACTGAATTACCATTTTTGGCACTTTTTCCCCGTATCTTCGAAACGGGTGGAGCTGCCTTATCGAAAAACTAATCAGCACGTCTCTTTATTAATGGGAATCAAATGTTTTTTGAATTATTCAAATCGGTTGATCGTCTTCCCGAAATCGTTGTATCTACACACACACACATTCATTAAGCATAAAATACATTAATAATAATAAATTACTTTCCGAATGAATAAAAAGAATATGAGCAAAGTAGGTTGATGATTCTGTTAGATGGATAAACCCAATATAAGAATAAAATAATTATGGGTATCACTGCCCTAGGTCCATGAGTTGAATTAAACTTTGCCTCAATTAAGGGAAGAATAGTATGAGAGATTACCCATTGCCATTTTACACCGCAGTGCCCAAAATGTGCAATTTTTATTTGGAAAATGTTTTCGATATATATTTTCCAATAAAAATTGATATCAGGTTAAATAATAAATATAAAAAAGCAAAAAACGAACAATTCTATACGTATGTACCAATTATTTGAACAACATCTAAATGTATATATTTACTATATTTTATTGCCCTTTCAAATAGCCTAAATTTCGCACTTAAATAATAATGTCAAACAAATGCTCATTAGTTCGTGACACATAACATATGGTACGAGAATATCAACATATTAACAAAACATTACGTATTTTAAAGTAATCCTTGAACTGATTTGGCAACAATTTTAGTTATTTCTACCACTTAAATTTTGCTTTCGTTTAATTCGATTTCAAAACTATTGGCACTTAATGGACTTTACAAATATAAAGGATACAGGATAAAAGATACATTGCTCCAAAAAAATATCAAATATCGAATCAAATCACCTCAATATCGAAGAGCTCAATCTGGCATACAAAACATTATTATTTACTGTTTATTTTAAATTACATATGTAAGAAAGCTAATTTATAGACGAAACCAAAAATTATATAAAAACCATAGGCTTTTAAAATTTGTTAATGAAATAGGAAAATTTACGGTAAAAGTTAATATGTTATCTCAATTAACATTAGTACTATTGTAATTTTCATAACACAAACGCATAAATAGCGTCAGTTATTTCAGGATTTTTGAGCAAGTGAAAATAAATTAATTTAAAATAATAACTCTAGTTATACTACACGAAACATTCTAAAATCGAAATAGTGTTTATATAATGCACCTGTTCGTAGATCAGTTCCTACTTTAAATTTGTAAAATATTCATACAAACTAAAAATAATTCTCAGCAATTCATATGAAAACATGAGAAGTGCGCTTATTATATATATATATATATATATATATATATATATATATATATATATGTGTGTGTGTGTGTGTGTGTACGTATGCGATTCAAAAAAAATATGTGGCATCTGATGACGGTACAAAGGTTTAACAAAATTCAAGTTAAAAAAAGAACGTTCTAATTATAGGTAAATGAACTTCTTAATCGCTCTACTACAAGGATTACTTGAGTAATCCTTAAGGTACAGTGAAATTAATTTATTTATATATATTCAAGAATAACTTGATAGCCATTAAAATAGATTTAATTCATTGTTTCTTGAAAAATATTTAACTAGGATAAGTGTCATTCTGTAAGAATTAGACCATGAACTCCATCGCGTGTTAAGTTTCATTAAAAACACAAACAAAACCATTTTTCACAAATGAATTCCCAACTAATATCTTTCGAACGGTTTTCAAATTTACAAAATCGGTTCAGGATCTTTGTCAAAAACGCAGACGACTAATTATAAAGAAACGTCTCGCCCGATTGCCGCTCAAAACTAATCAACACGAGTTTCATCAAGTGACCTTTAAATTTTTGAAATTAGTGCAGCCTGTTTTTAAAAAAAACGTCGACGAAAAGTCCAAATATAGCACACATACATACAATATATTTTTTCCAATGTTAGCATGAAATGATACAAAATAATTTGAAACGTCGAGATAACATAAAATTAGCAAATCGGAAGTGATAAATAAAAATAGAGACAAAATTAGTATAAAACTTTTTTACAAAAATGTTTAATCTAGATGATTCAAAATATTGGAATTGCCAGATGATTCTCCTGTATAAGAAGTCATCCCGTGTCATATTTCCCAAAAATATCAAATTTGTAGCATTATTTTAATAATTTCTTAAAAATCTTGAAAATATATAAATAAAAAATATCTTAAATAAAATTGTAATTAGAATTACAATCAACAAATTAATTTCATTCAAATGAAATTATTAACTTCCCGTAGAGTAAGTTTTAGTAATGGGCCAAAAATCGGAAATAAAGTTTCAGAGGTTTCTGAACATATTTGCATACCTCATAAAAAATAGATGTGTATGTGTGTGTATGGATACAATTTTTAATCTACGTTTTCGGGCGCACGGATCAACCGATTTAAATGGTTCAAAAAACAGTCGATTCCTATTGATAGGGAGATGTGCTGATTAGTTTTTGGCAAAGGCAGGTCCAGCCGTTATGGAGATACGAAGCAAATAGTGCAGAAAATAGAAATCGAGTTTTTGAGAGAACGGAGTATCCGATATGAATGATTCAAAAAACATTCAATTGGTAATGATTACGAAAAGTGGTGATTAGTTTTTGGCAAAGGCAGGTCCATGTGCAAAAAATGCAGTTTTTGAGAGAATTAAGCATCCGATTTGAATTATTCAAAAAAATTCTAGTTGTGTTGACAAAGCAATTGCTCTTGGATTTTTTTTTATTTCAAAATTAATTTTTTTTTGTATATCAAAAATAATTCAGATTTATTCTGGCTAAAGTTTTAAAGCTTACTTATATACTTTAAATAAATAATTTGAACTTTGCAATTCAGTTTATATAATTCTTATAAATATTAGACAATGTTACAATATTTATAAGAATCTATTTGAAAACATTTAATATTCCTCAAACATTTCGTTACGGTACGAGAAGTTCCAGCAATTTGCCTTAGGGCACGATGCCATACACCACTAGTACAACCTTTATGTTGCTCTTAATATTTATTTAACAGTTTACTAAAATATGAGAGCCTTGTTGTAATAACGTTTATCGTCATCTATTGAAAGCTTGAAGATGGAAGAAATAAATAAATAAATATTTAAATAAATAAATCAATTAATTAAATTAATAACCTGTTTAGTGGCTACCAAATGAAGTAGATCCTCCAGCTGTTCGAGAGTCCCTTCCCCGATGGAGTGCACCCGCCTGCACATCTCCTCGGGCATGTCGGCATCGAATTTCGGCATCAGCCTATCGGTTGTCTCCTCGCTGATGAGTACAATGCCTCCCTAGATGAAAATAATGAAATGTGAAATGAATCACTTAAACTAGGCCGATCAGATCACTGTCTGTCAAAATCAGTACCTACGACTCAAGGTGTACTATAAATAAATTGATGCCAAAATAATATATCACACATCAGCGCCTCTATGCGTCATTTCAGCTGTTTGCTGCCGAAGACGAACGTAAGACGACTTCGGTGACAAATCGGAGAGAAATTTTCGAATTTACGAGTTTAATTTAGAATATGACTATTGATACGTTGTTTATCGTTTCTTGTTGTAGATGGATTGATACATCGACGACAAGGGGGAATATTGTCAAATGTTTTGTCTTTGTTCTGATGAATCATATAGTCGAGAATAAGCGCTCTTACATATTAAATAACCGAAAGTGAACCTATTTTCTTTGCAAAAATTACCGAATAAAATAAACTTGGTGTAAGTGGCACTTTGCGTTAAAGCAAGTTGCATGCATGTATTACCTGATACGTGTAAATAACCGACTTGATCAAATTAAGATTTAGCATACACACATAATTACATTGTCCTTCGTGATATCTGCACCTATTTCATATGAAACATCAGCAAATTTTTGGAAGTACTTAGAATGTCTGAATCGAATGCCAATCCAATGATTGGACGTCTAAGTATGATGACATCAGATTGAATAGTTGAAGAAAATTTTTGCACATTTTTGCTAAATCTAAAGAAAGATCGTCTCAAAAAAATAATCAATAAGAGTCCTTGTCGAGTTTTATTAGATAATTTTAGTTGCTGCCGTTTTTGGGAAAACTTACAACGCACACATACCTTCACCAATTTTAGTGCCAAACAACTCAAAATGTCTTGAATCGTCGAGAAGCATAAAAATAACAGTTGGATTATTTGACGAAATCAAAAACTCCTTCTTTGGAAGGTTATTAACAAATTAATGGCATTAATTCTTAAACCTATGATCCAAAAGCAAAAACGTTACTTGACCCATTGTCTTTTGGCCAAATTTTATGTATTTTTCTAAATATATGAGTTTATGTATTAATTACCCAAACATAAAATGATTTATACAAATTACTAATTATTAACTTCCCGTAGGGTAAGTTATAGTAATCGCAAAAAAATCGAAAATGAAAATTTTTATATATCTTTACGTTTCAGAGGTTTCTGAACATTTTGGCATACCTTAGAAAAAATGGATGTGTGTGTGTGTGTGTGTGTGTGTATGTGTGTGTGTGTGTGTGTGTGTGTGTGCGTGTGTGTATGTATGTGCGGATACAAATTTTCGTCGACGATTTCGGGAACACGGATCAACCGATTTGAATAAATCAAAAAACATTCGATTCGTATTGATAAGGAGACGTGCTGATTAGTTTTTGGCGAAGGCAGGTCTAGCCGTTCCGGAGATACGGGGCAAAAAGTGCCGAAAACGGTAACTCAGGTTTTAAGAGAACGGAGCGTCCGATTTTAATAATTCAAAAAACATTTTACTTGTATTGACAAGATAAAGAATTGATCAAATTTTCATAAAGGCAGGTCTAGCGGTTTCGGAGATCTAACGAAAAAAGTAAAAAAAAATGCCATTTGGCGGTCAAAAATGATCATTAGACATATCCACATCAAATTTTCAGATATTTTATAGAGATTTTAACAATAAGTTTAAATTTTGTTTATTTTTCTATGGGTTCCGTACCAATGTTTACCCGTTAGACAGCGACGCCGCGCTTACGCGCTTTATATTTTGTCTCTATGCAGTTAAAGCAGTACGATTGCTTTGAAAAACAAGTTCAGATCTTCCAAAATATGTCAAAACAAAAGAAAACATTTTTTTTCAAAAAAAAAAAAATTAAAAAAATTTTTTTTTTTTTAAAAAAATTAAAAAAAAAATTTTTTTTTTTTCAAAAAAAAGTAATTTTTTGTCCAATTTATAGTTTCTCAAAAATCTTATTTTTTCGAAGTAAATTTTTTTCAAAAATGTTAATCGTTTTTAAAAAAAATAATAATTTTTGGTACGGGAAGTTCCAGCAATTTGCCTTAAGGCACGATGCCCTAATTGCCTTAAGACAGAATTCCACTTACAGCTAGTTAATTATTGTATAAAATTACTAAACATGAGCAGAATTAATAACGTTCCTTGCTGAGAATTAAGCAACATGTTGACAAATGAAATGCAGGCAATTACTTGTATTGCTCTGCTGCAATAAATAATATTTGAGTATATTTTTGTCCTATATATTCTACGATGTAAAGATGAAACCGTTTGCACTGCCAAGACATTGTCTATTCGGTAGGTAACAGGCTTATAAAGCATTTATCAATTTTATAATATGTGATGCAACCTGACAACGGGATTCAAATTGCACAAACACCATAAAAAATATTATTATAATACGTTAACGGATATTTATATTGATTATCAAATATTGAGCCACAAACTAGTGGGGATGAAACCCAATCTCGGCCATCTTAGTATCAAGCAGTATGATATCAACCTATGATATGACTTAACTATGATCTCCACTTGATTCGAAAACCGCTTTTTGTAGGTGTTGCTGCAACACATATACGCCGAATTAACGTATGCTTTTACTTTAAATTTTTAATATCAATTTTCAGTACATTTAGAAACTTACAAAATATTCATATCAGACTAGTATATTTTATCTAAAAGCGAAAAACGTTGTAAAGTGTCTACGACAGAAAAAGTTTAGGAACTTATGCTGCAGACATGCAAAATCTAGTGCACTAAAATTTGAGACATCCAATTCAAAAACATATAATAATTTATTTAAAAAATCGTCTAAATAATATAAAAGTTTTTATAAATAAACATTTTATTTAATTATATTAATGTTATGAGAATCCGTGGAGCAATTTGTGAAAACCACGCAAAAACAGGATTTCGAGTTCGAATCCCGTGCTACGTACAACCTGATGTCAAGCAGTAGCGATATACGATTTCACTTGAAAATAAACAACCAAATACGTTTTCAAGGGGAAATAGTATCACACTTTACAAGTGTGAAAAGTAAAAATTTTATCTCAAAAAGAAAAGACAACTATTGGACAGCCTTCTTAAAAAGGGAGGTAGTAACAAATAATCTATATAAATTTGTTTTATATAATTAATTTTATATTGTTTAAAATAATGGCGACAACTTAGCTTATAATTCACTAAATTTATCATTTATTCGAATATTAAATCATAGATTGGACATCTTAAAATTGGATGTATAAAAAGACAATAGATATAGCATTTCTTGTAATGTGGCAAGTTTTAGTCATTCGTATATTATTAATTGGCATGGGTGTTTTATTTTTGGTTCATTTTCGATAATAGAAGCTTAAAGTCTTAGTAGTACAGGTCTATGATATGAGAATAATTATACTTCAAGGATAATTGTCTATAACATAAAATAATTGCTAACACGATTTGGCAGCATAGAAAATGAACACATTTCGCACGAGTAAATGATACAGAAATATACGAACAGGAATGCAAATTATTATTTATTATTTCGTGTGGCCTTAAACAGCATGCGATGCATCACGATTGTACTTATTTGTTTAGTGAATTCCTGAAAGAGAAGTTCATGTTTTCTCTAGAAACCTGATTTGCTAATTTTATTATTTTTAGGAAAAAGTAGTGTGTGTGTGTGTAAGTGAGCCCAAATTTGATCTTTCTTCGGCGTTTTTTCAAAAACGCCTGCACTGATTTGAAAAATGTAAAAGCTTATTGATGCAGCTTGATAAATACTCGTGTTGGTTAGTTCTGCTCGACGATCGACTGAACCGTTTTTTATTTGTTCCAATTTAGGAAATTCAAAAACTGTTTGAAAGATATCAATTGGAAATCGTACTGATTTGGGTAAAGATGAGCAAACCCATCTCATCCTATATTTTTTTTATTATTATTATCTCTTATTTACAACTGTCCAGTAAAGGACATTCAATAAATTTGATGAATTTACAATAGTCGGCCGAAAAGGGACATTGTGTACTACAAGGGCATATTGAAAAAAACAACTCAGTAGTTGTTTTTCCATTCGATATAAAATTCACAATATTTTATTGATAATTATATAATTTTAACTATTTACTTATTAAATAATTTCTTATAAATAATGATTAAGTTATTTCCATTTTTTATCAGGAGAGTTGATGGCTTAAATCCAAATGTCAAATTTTGTCTAACATTGTCCATTTTAGTGTCAAACGATTCAGAATGTCGTAAAACGTCAAAAAAACAAAATTAGCAAATCTGATTATCTATCGAAAACTTATACTTCTGCTCCAAAAAATTAATAAAACAGTGAGATTTTAGTCGCCTGATAGGCATGTTATGCCAAACCTCTTAAAATGATAACGCTCGTAAGTTTTATCGATAAAATAAAAATAGAGCGGACTAAGTTCAAAGTGATGAGCACGATATACACATGTATATCTAATGTATATGTATATATAACGTGAAATTTTGTAACCAACAAACCTCAGCGAAGTGGCGAAAAATAGCATGAACAAATTGCTGGTAACTGCTTCACACGTTCAAAATAACCGAGATTACAGCAATTCCTGGACGCCTTACTATATGTATATACATATATACATATATTTTATGCATATACATAACATGCCTATATATTAGGGCGTGTAAAATTTTTTAGCCCTTGAGCCTTTGCGGTTGTGGCCTCTATAGTTTAAGAAACTTAGGTGAAGTAGCCATAGTACAAAAGTGAATTTGAAGTCTGCGAACTTTTTAGTTTGATTTTTTTTTTCTAAATATTTAAGCATTAACATACTGGTATTATACAAAAATTACTAATACCACTCTGGTATTATACAAAAAAAAGCAAAAAAAAATTTTACTAACATAATCTATATATATATATATATATATATATATATATATGATCCTTATGACAATTCATAAACAATTAATGCTAAACGATATAATTTTCTAAAAAAGTAGTCAAATGCACTTTCTGGTGGTAGTAAATTGTACAAATAAATGAAATGGATTTTATGGACACAAAATCCTCCACATTAGGTTAGTAAAACAATATTTTTTTAGCTTTCTTAATATAATACTTATGTATTATCTAATATTTGAATATTTAAATATACAACTATATTAAAAATGTCGCTCGCTCGAAAATCACTTTCGAGCTATAGTTCCTTCGACCAAATTTCAGAAAAAAAACTCAATAAAGCAGAAAGTCAAATTTTACAACAATTTCATATTTTTTTCTAAGAAGTGCTACACCAATCCAAAAAAAAAAGTAAAAACCTAGTGAAAAAATATTATTTTTGTTCTTTCGTTAGGTATGGGGTTTTCAGTAAAGTTTTTATAGTCATATAAGATATAACCAGTAGGGTTTTCAAATATTTACAAGGTTTCAGAGATCCGAATTATTTATTTCCAAAATCTGCAATGAAACACTAAATTCCTAGTGTACACGACAATCTTTTTATACTTTTTGCATGAATAATAAACTTTTAAAAACTACAAAAAATATATTAAAAGTATTTAGTATTTACTTGTATATACACACACATGGTATCCCATCAAGTCGAAACAGGATTTTTTTAATTTTTTACTCTAAATTTTTTAATAATAAAATTTTCAAGTATTTTACCATTTTACAATCATAATTATCTTTATGAAACTTACCAACTCACTTTAGTGCATTTTTTTCTTTATTAGAGAAGGGCATTTCAAAGTCTACCGATTTAAAAAAATCAAATTAATAGTTCAACATAAAGTCTCAATTTTTAAAAACTTGGGGCGGGCAATTGTAATTTATTCACGGTTATGATTCCAAAGTTTAATTCAAGAAAATTAATAAAAATCAACTACAATAACCAAAAATGGGTCGTAATTTCACCAAAGCTCTAAGTTCGAAGCTCACAATTTCCAAACAACGTGAAATATTTTTTTCTAATATAGATATTTTCGATATATTTTGCTCCCAGGGGCTAAAGTGCTTCCTAAATGATAAAAAATAATTATCTGAAAGTTTTAGCTTTTATTATTAACTTTAAGATAGTCCGCACTCCAACCAAAGTTACTTATGGAAATAACATGGGTAAAATTCCATTTTTTTATAATTTTATAAGTTTGCGACAAGTGATTCAAAATTTTGAGAATTACATTGTATTTGCTTATTTTGATCATAAATAAAAAAAATACATAACAAATTTAATATATTCTATAAAATAAGTATTTACTTAGGAAGAAGAACCAAGATCAATTTGGAAGCATTTGAGCCCCTGGGAGCAAAGAAATTCGAAAATATTCATAAGGACCACCCTAATATAATATATATAAGGTTGTCAAATATCTCCCTTCCGCCTTTTTGTATTATACACCAAGAGCAAAAGAGCGGAAGGGAGATATTTGACAACCTATATATATATATATATATATATATATATATATATATATATATATATATACATAATTATTCCTTTACTGTAATCGTACGCACGCGGACCGCCACCGGCAAATCACATGACAAATGAAATATTTCAAACGTAGAGAGAACTAAATTTGATACAGCTATAAAAACATTTATTTATGCATCCGAAAAGTTAGATAAACTTGCCAAATACAATACTCATGTCGAACAAGTTTCTAATAATGAACTCTTATTAATCTAATCTAATGAACGTATTATGAATCACCAATTTTAATTGGTCTCTCAAGAATTAGATTTCTATTTGAAATTGATCAACTTGATTTCAATAAATCAATAAAATGGCAGTTATTGATTGCAGCTTATTTATGGATATAACTTGAGTCAAATCTAAGATCGAGACATCAATTTATCATATATGATGTCTATGTGATACAAAAAATGTACAATTATCTGCTAAATAAATTTACGGCTTGTATATATATACTTATTACAATTTTGGTTTCAAACGATTCGGAATTACTTAAAATGGAAAAATATTAAAAGTAGCAAATCGAATTTTCTGGCAAAAAGAAACTCGATCAGAAAATTAAAAATAATCACAATTATTAAAATATCGGAAATTCATTTAATAATAAAGCAACTAATTCATTGAATTTAAAACTTAGATAAAAAATTACAGTTATTTATTTAGTACGTTTCGACACTAAATATGTGTCATTAGCAACTCATACAAAGAACAACACAAACAAAAAACTTAAAACAAATTTCATAAATTCAATTTATTTAATTTAACTATGAGCAGACCCGGACGTCCAATCACTGAATTGGCATCCAATTTAGACATGCTAAGAAATACCAAAAATTTGCTGATAATAGGTACAGATATTAAAAAAATTAACTACAAAACACCAAAATATAACAAAAAAATTTAAGTAGTACAGAAGTAGTATTGAATAGGAAATAGTATTGAACCCCTTATTATGGTCGCTATTAAATCAATTACCTATTACGCAGAATATCAATATCCATTTATTACATAAGTTTAAAAGTATGACTAATAGAAAATATGATAAACATTGTCTCGATTCACTCGAGTCATTACACAACTTTATAATTTGGTTGTAAATTTAGGCGCCAAATTCTTTCGCTAGCAAATATATTAGCGTTTGTCAAAATAGCCGTCCATCGAAAATAGATTCGTATCTTGTGTTCGCATTCGCACTTCTTCATCTGACCGTATTTTAGATTCATCTATATATCTATATAATACTAATTGTTTTATTGAGAACAGGCCAAAAGTGTCATCATACGAATGCCACATTGCCAACGTAATATACTTTTACTTGAACTTATCGAATAAAAGTGGCAGATAGAAACGTTCATTTTCTGTTACCTGATCCTCTGTTGCCAATTACTAGTCATGTACTAGAACGAATTAATTTTTGAAAATTTAAGATACTATATATAAGTTAATTTAGGCACCAATTAAATATGTGAGTAATTAAGCAATTACAGTTTTATTAAAATCATACGTCCAAAACACCAAACTTTATCACTATATTTGAAATCAAGCAATTATTAGTTGTAACATCAAAAGTAAGAACTATGAGAAGCTGATGATGTGAACTGATTTTACTAATGTTCAGGAACAAGGAATGGTAAAAAATAAAATTGTAACTCTTTTATTCAGTTTGCAATCATGTTTAAAATATGATCAAAGAATATTATGTGGACCCACCAAAAGTAATTGCTGTCATTTATTTTTTTCCTTTATTTATAGCTTTATAAAGCAACCTTCGGCAAAACGTCTTTCAAAAGTATTTGATTCAAAATTGAGGGTTAAGAAAACTTTTTCATGATGATATATCCTTATAGCATTGTTTTGTATTGGTTTCTATAGTTTGAATTAATCTTAAGCGAATTTCTTTTACCGAAAAATCAAGTTCTTGCAAAAAATAATAATATTATTATTATCATCGCGCTGACGATTCATTCATCGGCTCTGAGAATTCGTCGATTTATTAATATGTAAGATATTGCATCTTCTCCCGGCGAATTTATAAATATATATATATATATATATATATATATATATATATATATATATATATATATATATATATATATATATATATATATATATATATATTGGGTGGTCCTTAATATGGATGTTTTCGAATTTCCTTGCTCCCAGGAGCTCAAAAGCTTCCAAATTCATAAAAAAAAATCTGAAAGTTTTAGTTATTAATATTAACTTTAAGATAGTCCGCACTCCCTTTTGAGCCCCTGGAAGCAAAAAAAATCGAAATATCCATATTAAGGACCACCCTAATATATACAGAATATACAATTATATTTTTAAAGATCAAACCCTTTCAGCTCAATTGTATTTTTTTAGATTTTAGGTTTTTGGAATCTGAAGAAGCACACATTAATTTAAAGTATTACTTTAAAAAATGTCAAGAAAACTAGAAAACTATACATATTTTAGATACATACCGGTGCAAGATAATTGAAATGCCGCTGTAGACTACGAAGATTGGGACAAAAATCGATTACAATATCAACTTTTCCTCCACAAGCATCTAATGTTCTTTCAATGATCTGACTCTCGTACAGATTTTCTTTCCATTGTACGACATTTGCCCTAAAATCAGAAATAATTTCATTATTCGAATTGAATAATCTTCCAAGAAATTGCTACTAAGGTAAAGAATTTGCAATGTAAGATATTGTAAAGTTTAGACTTGATTTCTATTAAGGAATCTATGTGGTTATGAATAGTATTCCAAATGTATAACAAGAAACAGGAATGACAAGATATTGCATTTTTAATTTATATTTTAATATAAGATGTCTTATAAATTAAAATAATATTTTTTATTGATTTACAGATTTTGATAAAACAAAATTTTATAAAAATAGTTTGAGACTTCGTTATTTGAAGCAATCAAGACATTAAGATTTAAAATCAAAATGCGACTTAATTAGCAACAAGTATAATCCTTCAAATTAATAAAATGTATGGCAGCATAAAATATTAGTAGATGCACGCGCGCACTAAATATGATTACATTACTATCATTTACCCGTGACTCTGAGCCAGATATAATTCATCATCCCGTAGGCTGGCAACTGAAATGACGACCTGGTCGCGATATGGTACATGTTTGAAGTGATGAGAGGCGATTCTGAGGGCCCAGAGAGCAAGGCCGCCGGTGCCCACGATCAGGATGCGGCAGCGGTCACCAGGAGCCTTCGAGGCGCGCAGCTGCTGGACGCAGTCGTGGGCTGTGAACACCGCATTTCTAGCTAATAGGGCACCTGGAAATAAAGGATAATGTGAGATATCAGCAAATTTGAACAGAAAATCTAAATGAGATGCCATGATTGCCATGTTTGGACGTACAGGTATTTTTAACACTGCGCTACGCCTATAGGCGACATCTACATGGAGCCATAGCTTCAACACTTAAAACACTCTGAGTCAATTATAGAAAATTCTAATTTGTTACTAAAATTTTTACTTCTTTAGAAGTGAAATTTAAAATTTTTAGATTGATTCAACTCTAATCTACAAAACTGATGTTTATTATTTTGATATCATTGTTTCTTGAATACACGTTTTTAATCAAATATTTTTTATTACCTGTAGGTAACATAGCAGCTACTGAAAGTGGAAGACTTTGAGGTACCCGTATGAGGTAGTTGAGTTCAGGAACAGCCACGTATTCAGCATAACCATGAGGAATTCCATTGTAAGGAAAAATTATTACTCTATCACCACATGAAAAGTCACTGTTTTTGTCCACTTTGCTACCTAAGGCTTCAATTATTCCGGATACTTCGTAACCTAGAAAAGTAATGATAAAAAATAATAAATATTAAATAGAATATGTGTACCGGTGAGATAGCATTATAAAACGTGATAAACGTGATACTGAGTTTATTCTTTGTTTTCAAATTATAGATTTCAAAATTTCACGAAACTTTGAATCACGTTTTCATTATTGTTAGAAGAATCTCAAGACATTAATCAATTTCATATCCGAAACATTATGTTATTATTATACAAACAATCTGTCATAATATTATAAATATGTATATTTTTCCATTTACAGTGAATTGTACACAATAATTTTGTTTTAGGGCTTAAATTAATTTTAGTTTTGTACTAGTATCAATTTTTTACTGTAACGAGTCGAAATCTATATATAAATATATAATCCCTTGCAAAGTGATGAATCATACATGATGTGATAAATCAATTCTCCAATTAATCAATATTTATCATAAGATAGTTAAAAAATGTGTATGTTATTAAGTTCTGCGTAATACTATAAATCAATGTTCCAGTTTATTAAGATTCTTAAGAAGTGTTAATTGGCAAAACCCATTTTCATAATAATAATTTGAAATTATTTGGTTCAAATTGCGCACTGAATCATTTTGAGAAGCCGGCAAGTTTCACGAGATGTTTACAAAATAATGAAATTGACCTCTACTGACCCGCGGCATTCAGAAACTAATATTACTTAATAGAGAAACAATATTTATGTGAATTTTCTTGGAGAGAAAAGAAACTTATTTGAAATAATAAGTCTACAATAATATGCAATAGACTCTATTAACAACAAATTCATAATTATACAATATATATACAGCGTGTCCCAGACGAAAGGAGTGATAGTATTGACTTTAACTGTCCTTAACTTATAAGCTTTTAAGTGCCATTTACAATTAGATCTTTGGTGAAATTACGACCATTTTTCAGTTATTGTGGTTAATTTTTATCGTTCATTTAAGCTTTGGAACCGTAACCAGAATAACATTTCTAGGATGATGTTTCATAGTCAAAATTAATGTGTCATTTTGACAAATATCTCAAGTATTAAGACTTATAGCTCTTTGGTAGCGTGTTCGATTCACACGACAGGGATCTTCGGATCAAATCCTGTCAATGACTTAGAATTTATGAAAAAATATGTGTAGAAATCAAATAAAAATTGTACTTGTTAAATAGAATTTGAATAAAAATTAAGAAAAATAGGAATAACAGAATTCGAATAGTTGAATTGAATTAGGAGAAAGAAGAGAAATATTGGAACTTAAAAGAAAAAAAAGTGGAATGAAGCTGAAAGTCTGAAAGTTAAAAAGAATTAGGAATTTCAAGAAGAGCAAAAATTGAAGGAAATAAGGAGAAGAAAAATTAAGAATAATATAGAATACATAAATAGATTGAAAATGATATAAAAAAATTAGAATGTAAATACATAAAAATGTTGTAGGTGGCTAAATGCTCAGAGTAAGCGAGGCCAAATAAAAAATTTGAAAAAAAAAGACTTTTGGTTGAACTATAATAAGTTCAACGTGTCAATAAGCAAAAATCGTGTCATTTTTAGTTTTTTTTTTCTTGAATTTTTTATTGTAAAACTGTAAAGTATTCTGCCATTTTACAATCCTGATAAAAAGCTCCAACTTCTCATAAAACTTGCCAACGCACTTTAGTACCCTTTTTTCAAAGAAGTGCCTCTCAAAATAGACCAATTTTAAAAATTATAAATTCTATTATCTATCTATAACTAATTTATTATCAATTACATTTACCGGCAAAAAGAGCACCGTCCCTAAGTCCGTAGTTCGCCGGACTCCTAGGCGCTCTTTCGGTGCATTCGTCGTCCGCGTTGCATGGTGCAGAATCAGGCAAACGGTAGCAGGCGCCCGCGTAGGCCACCAGGATGCGTGCACCGTGAGGCGGAACCTCCGGCACCGGCACGGATGTGCAGGAGACGCACTCCTGGCTGGAGAAGGCCGGCATCTCGATCGACACCTGCTTGCATAGCTGCATGTCGCTTGAGGAACGACTGGGAAAGAAATACATAATTAGATTTTTTTGTTAAATTGGCAACTGAGTAAATGCAGATTTTTGTTAGAAAATCAAAAACATTTTTTATGGAATTTTTTTTCGTATTTTAACAGCAATCAGAACCTTACGTCTTATCAGCTGATGGCCTGAAACTTTTCCTTACTTCGTATTTTCAAATGGTAACCCAATGGTTAATCCATCCATATTTGATGATTTTATTATTAGAAATAATCTAATATGGATGACTTTTTACTGGTGCAGCAATGCCGGGTAAGGGCTATTTTCACTTGGAGACATATTGCTATCTATATTTCCAAGTGAAAACCGTTGTCACTACTGCTTGACAACAGGCAGCTCTAAGTTGAAAACCGCACTTACTTAGTTGCCAACCTAATTTTATTTATGAATAAACACTAACCATAATTAATAATATTCTATGAGCTATTTTGTTTAAGTCACACTCGCTCAAAGCAATTATGAAAATCTCTCCTAAAATTTATTGGAGTTCCAGGAAGCAAATTATTCTCACAATCAGTGTGATAAAACATTTTTATTTCCATTTCAAAAATGTAGCATGATAAGGCAGAAATAAATCGAGAATATATTAATTTATTATTAACTGCTGATTAAGAATTTATTATAAACATCAACAACTTTATCTAAGCTTGATACCGCACGTGGCATGATTTTAAAAATCTATTAGTTTCTTGAAAATAATTTTTGTTTACTAATTATTACGCAAAACACGTGGCTTTATTAAATATTAAATAAAGAAGAAAAAAAGTTATGATTTGATAAAGATAAGATACCAAGAATAAACTAGAAACCAGAAACCAGAAACAGCGATTATTTGAATTTATTTGATTTAATTAATGAATATAATGACTTAGCAACAAAGTAGTAGAAAATATCTAAACAAAGTACTTTGTATGAAGCAAATTGGTTTTAAATTTTACATAATAATGCAGCCTTTAGTATTTTTGGCAAAAAATTGCATTTGCAAGGTGATGTTATAGAAGAAATATTTAAACGATTTAATGATAAACAAAATGACTAATCAAAGTACATAAATCACACAAAATTGACAGTTATGTTTACACTTCTTCAATCGCTATTATCGATTTAATTATTCCTATAGGTTAGAGTTCCTTTTTAGGAATCTCCATCCGTATCGTACTGCTGATTATTTTGAAACATGTTATTGCAAATAATAAATGTGTTTTTTTAATTGAATATGAAGACTACAAAGTATGATATTGAGAGCAGAATAGATAGTTTATCATATTGATGATTAAATTTATATTGGTAAATTAAATGGTTTTGGATCTTCTAGTTTCAGCATTGAGTTACGAGAATAAAGTCTAGTTATTTGTAATTTGTAAAATAACGATAAAAAAGCGATTATGATTATCGACATTCATTATTGTCAAAGAATCCTCATCAATAAAGTAGACCTGAATTCAATTTGGACATATGGTATATATCTTTGGGGTAACAAAAGCAACATACATATTTTGCAAAAATCTCAAAACAAAATTCTCAAGAAAATATTACAGGTGTCCAGATAAATTCTAAATTTGCTAATTCGCCAAGATATTAAGAGGTAAATAGTTTCAAAACATTTGCAACCAAGTACAAGGAAAGATTACAATATCAGCCAAATCAACTAGCTAAGGATCTACCAACAGCAAATATAACTAGATGGCATAAATTGACATAAAAAGTTCGAAAATAATTTTTTAAATTGGCTAATTTACCAAACCATTAATATGTTTATAATATCAGAGTAAATCAGAAGATTTGCAACCAAGTGTAAGAAAAGACTACAATACCAGCCAAATCAACTAGACAAGGATCTACTAGCTGCAAATGAAAATGCTAAATGACTTAAAACAACATTCACTTTAGACATAGTTGGGTTATAATTAATTAAGATTTAATTAATTAAATCTGTATTTTTTAATCTTGTCCTGGATCTCAAATATAAAATGTTTGTCGTTCAATAACAGATGACTCTATGACCACTGAAATTTCTAAATGCCTTCTTAGGCAGATTGTAATATGTTTACGAAAATTAATGAGCTTTAATATTCAACAGTCAAGCTTGTTTACAAACATGATTTTCTTATTTTAGAACAACTAACCCGAGTAACTAACCTTATCCTTATGGATAAACAATGTATTCTATTCATATGTCCACATTCGCGACAATAATATTCGATAACGAAAACAAGATGCATTCGACTATGGACTGTGGTCTTATTTCTATTTATAACTTCTCATAAGGAAGTTATTTAGTGGAAACTCGGCCTTGCAACCACAAGGCTTCGGGTTTAAATGCCTACGTGCAACTTGATATCAAGCAGAGGCGACAGCCGTTTCTAGTCGGAAATAAAGATCAAAATATGTTTTTAAATTGTTGATTTTTTATTAAAAATCTAAACGAACATCCTAAAATACTATAGGAATATAAACATTACTTTCGAAATAAGCAGTTGAAAATTTCATCGTGATATTTTTAAGTGTTGATACATCTGTATTCTAGTTTACCATACACTACTAGTTCGAAATAGAAAATGGAACAGATGAATATGTTTCAAGGCGAATGATAAAAAATATATCCGCTTTGCTTTTTCTCAACAAAGATTATCGTAATCGGTCAAGAAACCCAGTTGAATGAAACTTATTGAAATATTTTGATAACCTGTTCTGAACTTTTCGCCAAGTATTTTATCAATAAAATTATTTTAAACAATCAACAATAATGTACGAAAAACGTGCTCACATGTTAATATTTATATAACCTTTGATTCTTTGTAATAAACTCGTATTTGTTTTCACAAGATTTCTAAATAGAACGATTCAGAATTTTCTATTTGTAACAGGATTTAAAAATCTATTAAAGCGGAAGTAAGAATTAGAACTAAGTGTGAGTGGCATTTTGCCTTAAAGCAAGTTGTATAAACTTCGTAGATCTATAATAAATATAGACAAAAAAATTCTTCCCAGTATTTCTGAACTGAATTTAATCTATATTAACCCTGCTAGACAAAAATACTAATAAATAAATATATTAAATTTAATCAGGACAGCCATCAGGTTGCCTTCCAAGAAGCCACGTAGTAGAGAAGTTCAGCTTATTTTGAAGTTCTGATTTCTAATGAGAAACCAAATATGTGTAACCCAAAATCATATAAAATACCTAGATAGATTTTTTAAATCCCTCAAAAAAATACCCCAATCACTAAAACTTTAGCCAAAAGTATTTTTTGCTTTCAATGTGAAATATTTTTAAAATTTCAAGATAATACAAATTGATACAAAACGCAATTTAGTAAAATTTGCATGCATATTAATAAAATGTGCATTCGTAGTGCAGTAGTAAGAACTTAGGCTTTGCAAACGGCAAAATGTAATAATGAAAATAATGAAATATTCGAAGAATAAAATTTAGAAAAAAAAGTTTTTTGAAAATTAAAAAAAAAATTAAAAAATATCCAACAGCAATCGTTTCGTCAACATAAGCAGAAAGTTTTTTGAATCATTTAAATCAGAAGCTCCATTCTCTCAAAGACACTATCTCTATTTTTGCACATTTAGCTCCGTATCTTCGAAACGGCTCGAGCTGCCTTTGCCAAAAATTAGTCAGCACATCACCCTATCAATGGGTATCGAATATTGTTTGAACCATTCAAATCAGTTGATCCGTGCAAGCGAAAACGTGAACAAAAAATTGTATCCATACGTACACGCACACACTCATCAATTTTTTCTAAGGTATGCCAAAATGTTCAGAAACCTCTAAAACGTAAAGATATACAAAAATTTTCATTTTCGATTTTTTGCGATTCTTATAACTTACCCTACGGAAAGTCCAATCAGTTCTACTTACCCTACGGAATGTCCAATCAGTTTTAGATTTTAATAATAAATAAGTTTTGAAAGGTTACCTGGTAGAAAGCCATTTCGATTTTGATAAATTAAATCAAAGTGTAAATAAAATATGTATGTATATATAATAAAATGCAAATTAAAAATAAAACTAATTGTAATTAGAATTGACCGTGTGAAATAATATTACCTTACAGTATGCCTTTAAAATTTTTAATGACTCATTTTTTACAATTGCATCAAATCCATTAGCTGGCGCCTTTTTTAGCAACGTATACTAAACTTGTTTGTAAACAACGATATCAGTTTAAATATTATGAAACACGATATTGTAAGTCATCGTAAACAATCAAGTGTTTTAAAAATAAAAATAAAAAATAAAAAATACAATAATACTTGGCTGTTTCCACGCAGATCAATCCCGCAGCCGAAAGCATCGTCTTCGTTGAAAGTCAAGGCACTGCCAATATCAATAATAGCACAATTAATTAATTAATTGATTAATTAATAATTAGCTCGTTAATCACACGATCGTTTAATTTAATTCCTGTGAGAGCAGATTGTATTGAATGAGTGCTGAGAAATCAACTAAATGCACGATTTCTATATCTCAAATACCTAAAGTCAACAATAGACGACAATATCAGACAAAGATACGAATCAGTCGTGGTGGGCTTATTTGTAATGGAAACAGTAGCGTCTGATATTTCAGTCAAATCGATACCGAAAATAATAATAGATATAGATATAATGCAATCTAAAAATTTTATATACATTCTCAACAGCAATCGGAACTTAACGGGTCCTATGAACTATAGTGCTGACTTCTTGAACTTTATAGATGGCAACCCAAACAGTTGTCCTTTGTCCATTTCTAGGTGATGAGATTATTATTACAATTTTTGTAATACTGACGTATTTTTTATTGATGCAGCAATACCATGTAAATTCTATATATATTTCCAAGTGTAAACCGATGTCACTACTACTTGACATCAGGCTGTACGAGTCAGGCATCGAACCTAGAACATCTGATTAAAATCCCATCCCTCTCCCAATCACTACCCACAGGAGCCTCCCAATTATAACATAATAACAATATTTTAAAAACAATTATTCAAACTTAAAATAATTAAAGTTCTTAAAGTTAAATAATATATACAAAATTAACCAGCCTGAACTAATTAGAAATCCATGTAGTAAGTATATGTAAAAAATGATTAATTCTGGTTAATATTTAAATGAGTTAAACAATTAAAATATATATGTTGTCTCTTATCTACTTCAAAAATAGTAACTAAACTATTTGCAAATTCTAGATATGCATAAACAGAGCAAAAATGGTGTTCCATGGCGTAACGGTTAAGTGCACAGCCTTGTGTGGACAGAATCGTGAATTTTAACCCAACTCTGGATAACCGGATATCATGCAGTAGTGATGTCAATTTTCACTTAGATCAAAAATATGTTCAATTGAAAATAGCCCATTTCGGGCACTGCGGTGTGAAATGACAATAGGAAATCTCTCACACTATTCCAGAATTGGAGTTTAATTCAGCTCACAGACCTGCCCATTATTAGTGCAAAAATATATTTATATTGATAATTTATTATTTAGTATCAATAAAATATATTTGCGTAATGCCATCTTTTATATTTAGTTAATAAATTCAAAACTTATTATTAATCGCAGCAAATATTTAAATATCTAATTACTTGCTCGACTTTAAAGCAAATATTGCTCGTGTAAATATTTAAATGCATCGTAGAATTCAAATAAAGGTTTATTTAAACAAGACTAAATTTTTGTTCATGCTCAAAAAGTAACTATTAACATATGTGTGAGAAATGTAATCTAAAAAAAATGATATGAATATTATTTGTGTGCATTTGTCGTTGACAACAAATTAAGGTGATAATAAATATTCAACATTTTTATACTTTTATATAAAAAATTATAATTATGTAAAATGGATATATAATTATACAGTAGTATCACATTATAGCTCGATTTAAATCAATAATGGTAAGTTTTCTTAAATCAAATAATATTTTCATTTTGTTTACATTTTACCAATAATTTCAATATTATACTATATGAAATATTTTTAATAATATAATAGTAGCCAATAAAAATGACTGCTATCAAAATGTATAAGAATTCAATTTTTTCATGATAATTTAAAACTTAAAAAATTAGAAGAAAATCTAATGGAAATACACTTGGAAAGCACATAACCATCACCGAGGTATAATTAAGCTTTGCTTTGCAAACAATTTATAAAGATTGCAATTATTTAGCAATCTCTATGACTTTTCATACATATGAACTGCATTATTTTATCCCTCTAAAAATATTGCTATGCGATGCAAAAAATTATTTACATCTGTTTTATCTACATTTAATCTATATTATTTGTACTTTATTGATTGACCTCGTTTAATTATATTAATTTTCATAAGCTTTTTTTACTTTCAATATTTTTCATATAGTATTCTATTAAATGTTCTACACGATATTGATTTTTGAAACTGAAATGCTATCTACATTTTTCTAATTAAAACTACAAACAAGGCAATCTGTAATTATTTAAAACAAAAAAGTTTAAAGAAATCGTCAATACAAGCAGAAAGCTTTTTTGAATCATTCAAATCGAAATGGCTGTGACTTCCTTTGCCAAAACTAATAAACACTTCTCCCAATCATTACTAATTGAATGTTTTTTAGATCATTCAAATCGGATACTCCGTTCTCTCAAAAAGTCGATTTCTATTTTCTGCACTCTTTGCTGTGTATCCTCAAAACGGCGGGACCTGCCTTTGCCAAAAACTAATCAGCTCTTTTCCATATCGATAGGAATCGAATGTTTTTTGAACCATTCAAATCGGTTGATCCGTGCGCCCGAAAACGTGACTGGAAATTTGTATCCATACATACATACACACACACACACACATCCATTTTTTCTGAGGTATGCCAAAATGTTCAGAAACCTTCAAAACGTCGAGAAATGTAAAAATTTTCAATTCCGATATTCGGCCCATTACAATAACTTACCCTACGGGAAGTTAATGGACATAGTTATAAATTTTAGCTCTTTCCAAATATTTGTTGAAATTCGGTTCGGTTTCAAAATTATCGATATTTTTTTTGAATAGAAAAACACCTATGACAATCACCGTTTTGAAATGTAAATAAAAAATGTTAAAAAAATCCAATGTAATTACAAGATTTAAAAAAATCTAATGTGTGTTTTAATTTATCCAGCTTGAGAAAAGTTCAACGACTGTCAGTCGAACGTTTAAGAAGGTCCTCTAAGGTGAGTCACTGCGTCCGTCGTAGTGGCACGCGCCTAGCACGATCGCGCCACGTGTCCGGTCTGTGCGCATTGTTAACTTCCCGTAGGGCAAGTTATAGTAATCGCAAAAAAATCGAAAATGAAAATTTTTATATATCTTTACGTTTCAGAGGTTTCTGAACATTTTGGCATACCTTAGAAAAAATGGATGTATGTGTGTGTGTGTGTGTGTGTGTGTGTATGTGTGTGTGTATGTATGTATGTATGTATGTGTGTGTATGTATGTGCGGATACAAATTTTCGTCGACGATTTCGGGAACACGGATCAACCGATTTGAATAATTCAAAAAACATTCGATCCGTATTGATAAGGAGACGTGCTGATTAGTTTTTGGCAAAGGCAGGTCAAGCCGTTCCGAAGATACGGGGCAAAAAGTTCCGAAAACGGTAACTCAGTTTTTAAGAGAACGGAGCGTCCGATTTTAATAATTCAAAAAACATTTTATTTGTATTGACAAGATGAAGAATCGATACAACTTTCATGAAGGTAGGTCCAGCGGTTTCGGAGATATAGAGGAAAAAGTAAAAAAATGAGCCATTTGGCGGTCAAAAATGATCATTAGACATATGCACATCAAATTATCAGACATTTTATAGAGATTTTAACAATAAGTATACATTTTGTTAACATTCCTATCGGTTCCGTACCAATGCTTATGCGTAAGACAGCGACGCGGCGCTTACGCGCTTTATATTTTGTCCCTATGTAGTTAAAGCAGTACGATTGCTTTGAAAAAAAAGTTCAGATCTTCCACAATATGTCAAAATAAGAAAAAAAAATTTTTTCAAAAAAAACAAATTTTTTAAAAAAAAAATTTTTTAAAAAAAAATTTTTTTTTTCAAAATAAAACTAATTTTTTGTCCAATTTATAGTTTCTCAAAAATCTTATTTTTTCAAAGTAATTTTTTTTCAAAAATGTTAATCGTTTTAAAAAAATAATAATAATTTTTGGTACGGGAAGTTCCAGCAATTTGCCTTAAGGCACGATGCCCTAATTGCCTTAAGACAGAATTCCACTTACAGCTAGTTTACATTTGCAGTACAATAGAGTGACGGTGACGGTGACGGGCCGGAGTAGGCCAGAGGAGGCCAGAGGAGGCCCGAGGAGGCCCGAGGCTTATCGCGGATGCAGATGCAGCCTTCTCCTGCCCCCAGAGCCCGCCGAGACGGCACAACCGCAATGATCGCGCAAACGGCCCACGCGATGCAAACGTGATATCGATAGTGTTAGAACGAAATATCGAGTACTGAGTCAATATCGATACTTTGCGGTCGATAGTGAGTACTTTTGCTATCGATTCTTTAGCTCGATCTATTTACCAATATCGATTTTTCTCGTCGATCGTACTCAAAAAGAATCGACAGCGTAATCTATGAACACCACTCACCGACTTTTACCCAATATGCCAAATGCAATGCAATAGTCTCTCTAGGTGGTCATAACTGTTCAAAAAAGTGTCAAAAAACGATCCCGAAGGGTCATTAGGCTCAGAATTTATTGTTCGAAAATCCAAAATGAATATGACTACTCTAATAAATAAATTTGTTTATTTATTACTATTATGTGAAATGAAACGGCTTTTTAAAGTACAAATATGTTTTACATATAAAAAAGAATCGAAATATAATTATTTCAAATAATAATATTCATCAATTTCAATATATTAGTATTTTACGTAAAAAAGAATCGAAATATAATTATTATTATATTAGATGAGTATTAATTATTATTATTATTATTAGATGAGTATTATTATCTGAAATAATTATATAATTTATACATAGGCTTATAGAAACTTTGTCTTCTGATGGTCTATTAAATAATAAATAAAAAAACAAAAAAGAAATGATTATATTTCGATTCTTTTTTTCGTAAAATACTCATGTATTGAAACTTTTGAATATGAACATGCAAACATATAGGTTTGAGTTTCTCGGAACCATTTAAACTTTAAATCCCATCGCTCCGAAGGGATGTTTCTCTACAAGTGTGAAATATTATCTTGCCCGTCATTAAACTGAATGTTTATTGCTTTCCAAAGAGGTTCATATTGCACTTTTATGTAAATATGTAACGTTAAAGTTGCATGCTCGCTAAAATTACTT